ACACACCTATAAGTAGCCCACCACTATGGCTCCTGCTTTAGTTCCTGCCTCTATGTTCTTGTCTCCACGATTCTGCCCTGAGTTCTTTCCCTGCTTTCTCTCAGTAATGGAATGTAATCTGAGAGATCTATAATTCAATGAACTCTTTTGTTCCCTAGTTATCTGGTTGAATTGTTTTATGACAGCAATAGGAGGCCTAACTAAGACAGATGATGCCTGTAGGAGTAGCTTAGTGATTTTATTATATTTTTAATGACTGCCTGAGAAAAATCAATACCGATAGTAGAATTATTTATTTGTATTAGAAAAAACCTGATAACTGACTCCAAAACATTGTAGAGTAGGTATTTGAGAAAGCTAAGATCTTTACAGTATTCTATAATCCATAGTGAAATTCTCAAGGACCTATAACAGAACCGTGTGTTATCCATTTCAGGTACTGAAGGCGATAGTTGCTACCCTCAGCTCCAATAGAGGGTAATATCCTGCCTTTGGTTATTACCCTCTTCCAGCTTGTACAACTGTGAGTCCTCAGGCTTCAAGTCAAGAGAAGGAAGAAGTTTGTTCTCTATATTTGAATGTGTTAGCAAATCTTGATGGCATCCTGTTGAAGGTCAACTTTTACTGAAAGCCATTCAGCTGCGTTCATTCAAGTCTCAGTATGAAACAGCCTCTGTTCTTTGGTTTAACTAAAAGCAGATCTCAGTTACTAAATTTTGAATTCTCTATTGCAGTGGTTTATACATAATATCTTCTGTCTTTAACCCATCTAATTTTGAAGCCTTTGATGATATGAATCACACTCTTGCCATATGAATTCACACTTCTAAAAATACTATTGATCATTTTAAACACTTAAGGAATGTGATAGTTTTTAGGTTTTGTTTTTTAGCTTCAAGTAATCATTTTCACATGCACTGGTTGTAAGAAATTGTCCTTTCCTGCAATAATAGTTCTAATTCACTTGTCAATGATCCAGCATAGATTCTTGAGAGGTCCCAATTGTGCCTCTTCTTACTGTTCATTCTCTATCTGGGTAATAACCAAAGAATGTAGTCAAATACCGATTACATTTATCTGTAATATAGATTCTGAGTCACATGACCCTTATATTTCCTACTTAGAATAATCAATCTCAGTTCTAGAGAACTTTGTTTCAATTTAGATCCAGGGCCTTTCTAAAATGTACTATTATTTACCCTTCCTGTAAAATGGCTGTAGATAGCATTAGAAATGGCAAATAGGAAAATTAATGGTATCAATTCCATGCAGTTCATGAGTCTTATTTCTCAAGTGGATACTTCATACAAGGAACCTGAATCTGAACTGGCTCCATAGAGAATTTGAATGAGTGAGGGGTTCTGTGTCTCTGTTACATAAATTGTGTTAGCTACACTCACACCTTTCCTATCTGCTCAGAAGAAGCAGCCCTTTAGGCTTCCTCATATTCTACTCTAAGTACTTCATGCCAGTGAGTACACAGCAAATAATTATACAGGTTAGATTTTCCAGTCATTTTTGGTCCTGCTATTCATTATAATAACTATGGCCAACTTGTCTTTTGTTCTTTATTCTACAATGCTACCATCATCAGTGAATTTAGATCTCTGAGTTCACTGATAGCATAAATTGTAATCTCTGATCCTGAAAAAAAAGAGAGGCTACAAAACACTTGAAAATTGATGAGATTTTTTTTTCACATATTTGTTTTATATAGCCATAGTAAAGAGTGAATCCAGTGGAATCTGCTGAGGATTGGATGGCATACTTTGGTCTAGAATGTAGAAGGGGACTTTGTTATTTTAATCTAATTTAATTTAATTTAGGCCTATTTTGGACCCTTACATTTCTCAGGCCATCAAGAAATAAAATGAAACCATTGCAACTTCTTCTAGCTGAATAGCTGAATTTGACGTCCACATTTTATTTATTTTCTATTTTTTACCTCTTGAGAAGTATTCCTACACTCCATTCTCATACTTCATTTGTTATATTTTTGGAAGGTCACATTATTTTTTTGATGTGTGTCATATATACTTATGGATCACACTGAGTGTCTGAAATTGCATTTCCCAGATAATTCCAAGTAAGACAGCTAGAATAGTAAACCTTTTATGGAGTGATTCTTTCTTTCAAATAGTGCATTCAGTGTTCGGTCTATAAAGCAGGGTCAAGGGCCTACATATTTATTAAGAGATCTGTTAAGAAATTTGACCACTTAGAATGTCAACATAATTATTAAATGGTCCCTCTACAGCTAATTGTTCTGGATTTAATGTTGGATTTTGAAGTCTCTATGAGGTAGTTATTAGGAAAAGCTGATTGAGAAGTGAAATATGGTAGCTGGGATTGTTGTTTAGTGGTGAATTGGTTACTCGCATTGTAATTGGATTTGGATTTGATTTTTTGTGCTGAAAAATAAAATTTAATGACCCTGTACTTTTCGTAGGCAGAAAAAGTTGTATGTCTAAGGTATTGTGGCTGAGTTGGTGTCCCAATCTTTTAATTGCAAGTCTTCCCTAGTTATAGGAGATGGCCAGTTCAGGCTACGTATCCCCCACTGATAGGAATCTTACCTGAGGTCAGCTTCATATATTCCTGAGAGTTTTCACTGTCCTATGTTTCTACCTCATCACAGAGATGCTCGAAAATCCAGTTGTAGTTCTTTGTACTTTCCCCCCTTGTCCTTTTCCCACCTCATCTCCCTGTTCTCATCACCATCCCATCCTAGACTCAGTCCCTTCTTTCAGTCCTTCCCTGATGTCTATTCTATTTGCTTTTCTGAGTGAGATTCAAGCATCCCCCTTGGGCCCTCCTTGCTACTTAGCTTCTTGGATCTGTAGTTTGTAGTGTGGTTATCCTATACTGTATGACTAATATCAACTTATTAGTGAGAACTTACCATGTTTATGTTTCTGGATCTAGATTATCTTATTCTAGATATATATATATTTTTTGGTTCCATTCATTTCCTGAAATTTTCATGATGTCCTTGATTTTAATGGCTAAGTAATAATGCAGTGTGCAAATGTTCCACATTTTTGTTATCTATTCTTCAGTTGAGAGACATCTAAATTGTTTTGAGTTTCTGGCTATTACAAACAAAGCTTTAAACATAGTTAAGCAAGTGTCCTTGTGGTATGGTAGAGCATCTTTTGGGTATATGCCCAGGTTTGGTATAGCTGGGTCTTGGAGTAGTCAATTTTCCGAGAAACTACCAAATTGATTTCCAAAGTAGTTGTACAAGTTGTCACTTCCACCAACAATAGAGTGGTGTTTCCTGTCCTCCATGTCCCTGTCATCATGAGCTGTTGCTTGAGTTTTTAATCTTAGTTATTCTGATGAGTATAAGATAGAGCCTGAGAGCTGTTTGGCTTTACATTTCCCTGATTACTAAGTGTGTTGAACATTTCTTTCATTGATTCCCAGCTATTGGTGATTCCTCTGTTGAGAATTCCCTGTTTAGCTCTGTACTTCATTTTAAAATTTAAAAAATTTTAATAAAATTTAAAAATTTTTAAAAATTTAATAAATTGTGTTATTTGGCTTGTTGATGTCTCATTGCTTGAGTTCTTTATATATTTTGAATGTATAAAGACATAACTCCTTATCTGACAGCCCTTTGTCAGATATGGAGTTGGTGAAAATCTTTCTGAAGGCTGCTGTTTTGTCCTTTTGACAGTGCCCTTTCCCTTATATAACCTTTTGAGTTTCATGAGGTCCCATTAATTAATTGTTGATCTTAGTGCCTGATCTTTTGGTATTCTGTTTAGTAAGTTGCCTTATGTGCCAGTGCATTGAAGCAGTTTTCCAATTTCTCTCCTATCAGATTTAGTGTATCTGGTTTTATGTTGGGTCTTTGATCCACCTAGACTTAAATTTTGACTAAGGTGATAGATATGGATCTATTTATATGCAGACAAGCAGTTAGATAAGCACAGTTTGTTGAAGATGCTTTCTTTCTTCCATTGTGTAGTTTTGGATTCTTTGTCAAAAATTAAGTGTCCATTGATGTGTAGATTTACTTGGGGGATCTTTCATTTGATTCCATTTATCAACCTGACATTTTACACCACCATCATGTGGTTTTTATTACTATTTCTCTGTAGTACATATGTGAAATCATGGATGGTGATGCCTTCAGAAGTTCTTTTATTTTACAGGTTTGTTTTAGTAACCTTGGTTTTTTGTTTGTTTGTTTGTTTTTGTTGTTGTTTTTTGTTTTGATTTGTTTTTGTTTTGGCTTTTGTTTTATTCCCTTATAATTATTTTTTTTCTGGCCCACAGCTCTGTCTACATTCTGGGAGGCCTGACAGCACAAGTGAAAACTAGGTGAGACAACTCCCCCAATTTCCCTGCCTGCTGAATCTCCCTTGGGCACATTTAATAGGGGTAGACTGTATCCTGTACTCTGTGGTTTATTTTCCTGTGCACAAATTGGGCTGCATTCTTGGAGGCCTGTGGGTATCAGAAACAAACAGGTAAGACCCTGGCACTAAGACCTTGACGAAGTCCCCTTAAAGCACATGAAACAGTAATAAACTGCACCCTGTTTCCTGTGCCCTATTTTTGTCCCACAATTCTGCCTACATTCCCTGAGACCTGGCAGGGACTACTGGATGACTAAAGGCCAGTGTAAGAACACAATCAATAATAGCAAGAGCAATATGGCATCACCAGAACACAACAAATTCTAAATATTCTAACATAGCTGAAGAACAAGCTAATGATTTTAAATCCAATCTTATAAAAATGATAGAGGTCTTTAAAGAGTGGATACAGCCCAAGAGGAAGAACTCTGTTACAGTCAGCAAAGCTGAAAGGAGTTTAAGACTTTTCACATCAGACATCGAAATGCACTTTAGAGTTTGCCCAGCTTACTGTTGGTATTTCCTCACTATGGAACCCTTTGGAAAGTTAATGTATATCCTGTGCCATTGTGTGTTGGAACTATGTGATCTGCTTTTTGATTTTGATTTCAGTGAAGCTCACAGTGAAGAGATTGCTTGAATTTCATGAGACTTTGACCTTTGAAACAAGTTTTAGACTATTATAGACTTATGGAAATTTTAAAATTCGACTGAATGTATATATGATGTGGGTTCCAGTGGATTCAGTGCTTTGAATAAAAATGGCCCTCATAGTATCATATAGAATGATACTATCTGGTTTTGTGACTTCGTTGGAATAATGCAGTCTTCTTGGAAGTAGTCAGTCTCTGACGAATGCCTGAATATCCAGATGTAGAACTCTCAGCAACCTCTCCAGCAGCAAGTTTGCCTGCATGCTACTATGCTATTGGACCATGAAGAAAGGGGACTAAACTTCTAAACTGTAAGCCAACCTAAATTAAATATTTTCCTCTATAAGACTTTTCATGGCTATAGTGTTTCTACACATTGGCCATTGTCTAATTGTGGGTCTCTGTATTAATTATCATCTAAGGCAAGAAGAAAATTTTTTGATTAGGGTTGTTCTTTTTTTTTAAGTTATATTCACCTGACTTTTATATTGAAGAAACTATTTCATTTTGTTATGGGAACTAAGTGATAAAGTGTGTTAAAGTGTCTAATCTGTCATATGGTCTCATAATACTAATTTTGCTCTGCTCTGTGGAGGCATCTTGGGGTGGTTTATTGATTCTCTGAGTTTCTTTCTCTAGAGAATGCCTTTCTATACATACCCTCCCAATACAACCCAGGAACGTTTAATACTTCATTTTGACACATTCCTGAGAAGGTATTGAACTGAAAAGTCAGCAGTAGAGAGAATTATTTATTATCAGAAGTAAGTATTAAGTTCTTTTTATGACATCAACTATCTCCTAAGTTTTTAAAGAGTACATTATTTTAAAGTGTCTTTTTTTCTTTTTTCTTTTTTCTTTTTTCTTTGCAGTCCAATTGTTCTCCCTCTCCTGGTCTGACCTTTGACAGTTTCTCAGACTGTTCCTCATCCCATTCCTCCTCCCTTATCTCTAAGAGGATATCCCCACCCCTTTATCCCCACCCCAAACCAGCTTTCTTCAGCAGGTATCCCATGGTTTTGGCACTTCAAAAATTTTAGGTTTTCCAAGGCAATCCTAACTTTACCTTCACAGCTTCACACAATGGCCCATCTAGGTCTCCATATATAGACCCTTCTGATACATGCCTGACCTCAGTGGCTTTTCTTAGTTTCACAGGTTAATTCCATAACCCCATTCGGCTATACCTGACTCTAAAGCCAGAACAACATGGCTGAAACTGCAAAGTTCTACCATTTGCTGGGGCTATAACACTGTTCTCTCATTCAAGTATATCTTCATTAGCTTTCTGGTGTTGATGGCTTCCTTCACTGCCTATACATGGCTGTCCCATAGACCAGACTGACCTTAAACTCAGATATCACCTGCCTCTGCTTTTGGAGTTCAAAGATTAAAGACATGTACTACACACCTGATTCTGGGTATTTCTTTTAATTCCTTTCCAAAAGTTGAAATCTTAGCTGAGTGATATCCTACACTATATAAAATCAAATTTTCCTCCTAGAAACTTAATTTCCAGCAGTAATGACTTTGAGACAAATTGTTTTTAATAAATGCCTAGGCTATAAGCTTTTGTTTGTTATCCACCTAGCTCTTAACTTACTATTCCTTTTATTCACCTGAGTCCAGATACATGCTAGTTTTCATCCATATCCTTGCATTCTAGTGTGAATCTCTGTGCCTCTATTTCCCAGAATTCTCCCAATTCCTATCAGATGTCTCACCTATTTTCTGCCTCAACTCATTGGTGATAAGCTTTTTAATTGACAGGTGAAACTTATAAATAATTCTCCCCAATGTCACCACAGTCTTTAACATAAGGCTTTTCTTTAATCTGTCTACTTAACTTGAACAAAGCATTTAGCTCCATTACACTTCCTGGAGCCCCTTTTCTCTATTGTATTTTTCCTTGTTTATCTTGCTTCTTTTAATTATAGACCTTCATAAGAGTGAACACTAATAACTACAAGACAGAATCAATACAAGACTATTTAGAAATTTTTCTCTGCCAACCCAACTAATCCAAACACTTCAATTTACTCTCAGGTATGTTATTTTGGTTAAGGGCAGAGATCAGTTGCATTCTTCAACAAAATATTACAAGAACAGTCTGTAGGCCAGATACTAACATTTTTCTCCTCTGAAAACTCTTGATTTAGGACCCCACAGTGTTCAACACTTTAAAGTTTTCTAATCCAAAGTTTACATTTCTACAAATGAAAGCATCACCACGTCTATCATAGATATAGGCCACTCCAGGAACCAAGTTCTTTCTTAATTAGGATTTGTTTGTTTTGAAGAGGCACCATGACCTGGAACCTCTTAGAAATAAAAACATTAATTTGGGCTGGCTTACAGTTCTGATATTTAGTCCATTACCATCATGTCTAGAAGCCTGGTGCCATACAGGCAGACATGGTACTGGAGAGTTAGCTGGGAGTTCTACCTCTGGATATACAGGCAGCAGTAAGAGACTGAGTCCAATAATGCCATACCACCTAATAGTGTCACTCCCTATGACATGTGAGGGCCATTTATTTCAAACTACTATACCCAGAAACTAAAAAACATGGAGCAATCAGCTCTAAATGTGATGTATTTATTAAACCTCCAAAATCCACCCAAGCTTCAGGGATCCATTTAGAGTTAGAGACTAAAAAGTGTAAGATCAAGAGTTAGTGGATGATTCTAGATGATTCCAGGGAAACAGTGTCTTCCTGATACAACAGATTCAAAAAGATTGTGACAGTATGTACAATATCTGCTCAAGTCTAAATCAAACAAAATTTCATTACAACGGAGAAATGGGTACAAATCACACTTCTTATGAAGAAGTCATTTGCAATTCATGTCAACTAGGAAGTTTTTACCAATAGCCTGACATTAGAGATATAAAAGAAAATACAAGGGAGGCCTCATTCTCAGGAGAACCTGTCCAACACCAAATGTTCTTCATTTTACTTGTGTGCTTTCTTTGGTTTATTGACGTTTTGTGTGTATTTTTATTTTTTGATAAAAGGAACATGAAGTTTCATTGTTAGGGAGGTAGCAAGGGTCTGGAAAGAGTTGCAGGAGGGGAAAGAATATGATCAAAATATATTGAATAAAATAAAGTTTGGTTGAAAAAATAAGCCAGAATGAATTTCAGGATGAAGTAATTATAATAGCTAAGATCGTGTTACAATTAGTATTTCATATAACTATGCATTGAATATTTGTTTCAAATTATTTAATGTAGTTATCCCTAGTTGTAGTAGAGAATTTGGAACGTAAATGAGCATTTATTGGACACAAAACAGCATTTCTCAGCCTTTCTCCTTCTCTTCTGGCTCTTGCAATAATTACATTTACTCCTTTACAACAGTATTCAGCATGCCATATAGAGGAAGTTGTAAATGTGTCTTTTAGGGTGAACCACTCAACAGCCACTTATTCTCAGCACTGTTTATAGCCATACTTTTCCACTTCCATTATAATTCATAGAAAATGAAGCTTCTTTGAGCATGATTGAGAGATCAAATGCCTTTCGTATAAATACACACATACAGAGAAGGTGGTTCACTGCTTTGTTAAATCACAACACATGTAAGCACAAACCTCACACAACTTCTCCACTATGGGATTTATGGTACCAAGTATAGAATATATCCTGTAGACCAGGACCCTGTATTTCACACTACTGAACTAGTAGTCTTAATATTCTGCTAAGGGAAAATGGAAATCTATCTGAAGCTGTATATCCTCTGATGGCCCCACTAAACTTCAATTAGCAGTATTAGTTGGAACCTAGGGTCACATAGTTTACAGAGCTTCACACAGAAGGCCCTCATTAAATGAATTTTTCCATATCTATCATTGCTTTAGTTCACAGTGCTTGCAGCCAGATAATATTGTTGATAACTTTCCCCACATTGGTAGTCTGCCCAGCAACCTGCCCCTCATACTTTGAAAGCTGGCCAGAAAGGAGGAAACTCCCTGGTCAGTAGCAACTTTATTTCTCTATGTGCAGTGGCACAATTGTTTGCTGTCTTCTTTGGTAATGGGGCTCTTGCTATCAAATTCTAGCAGGGAAACTGTCATTATAAGATATGGCCATGGTTGCAGGATGGTATGCACGGTTTGACATAACTGATAATCTCTGATTTTTATCCAAAGATACACTCCACAGGTACCTGATATTGTTAAATTGGCCATAACCTCTTTGGGGAGCTCATAAGCTCTAGGAATGAACTGTCTGTCTATCTGTCTGCTTGTCTGCCTGTCTACATATCTACCTCTATACCTATCTATGTAATGAAATATATACATGAACATATATAGATATATACAGAAAGAAACTTCTTTGAAGTATGAGAGTTACAATTATTTATCAGTGGAAAGATGAAAGTTTAGAGGGCAGTTTGATGCTGTGTTCCCTGACAAGTGAGTGTGTACATTTTGGGTATGTGTGTGGATGGTGTGTAAACACTGCTCTAAGTATACATAAGCATCATAGTTTAACAATTTAAGAATACAGAAAGTGTGCTTCAATTACACATAGGAATACTACTCACCTATTAAGAATGAGTTTAGCAGGGAAATGGATGGAACTAGAAAATATCATTCTCAGTGAGGCAACTCAGACCCAAAAGGACATGCATGGTATGTACTAACTAATAAGTGAATATTACAAGGAGCAGTAGAAGGAGGAGGAGGAGGAGGAGGAGGAGGAGGAGGAGGAG